GGCACATGCATTAAAAGTCGACTCGTCAGGGCCATACAAAAACTCTAATTACATACACCAAAAATACTATAGGCCCAGACTCCAGTGGGTACCTGGCCACATCGGAATACTGGGTAATGACATTTCAGAAGCAACAACTAAAAGAGCAACTGATCCCCCACGTTCACTTGATGTGACTCTACCAGGCTCGTTCTTAAAAGCCGATCTCGAGAGAGAATTATTGAAGCGTTGGCAACATGTGTGGGAGACAGAGACTACTGGCAGAAGAGTCTACAGACATTTCCCCCAAGTCTGTAAGCTTCTAAGAAATGAATCGCCTCATTTTACGCAGTTTTTAACAGGGCATAGTCTCTTCAAGACTTACCTGCATCGCTTCAGACGACGCGAAAACGACCAGTGCTCATGCGGGATGGTAAGAGATTTGGATCACTATGTGTTCGTTTGAAGAGAGATTGCAGAACGTCGTTTTAGACAGCCAGTAGCAGATCATATCCATGCATGGGCCGAAGTTACTTTGAAAAATCGCTGTGCTTTGAAACGCATATGCGACTGTGTTAATATCGCACGTAATAATGTCAGACAGGCTGGAGTAATTTTCAGCTGCCATCCTCAGCACAGCCCAGTCAGTCTGCTAATTGCTCATATTCATAATTAATGCACTATTCAGCTGATTATAACTCACTTATACGTATATTTTAACTATCCACAGGACTAATTTATTGTTCACGTTGTGGATGCCTAAAGGCAGCGCTTAAGTTGTAACTATCTGTCTCTATCATCTCTGTAAAATGTGAAACTGAAACTGTTCTCCTCAACCGCATTGCACCCTTCTTCCATGATTACACCATCGATTCGGCCAGCATTTGTTTGCACTACCAGCACTCACCTTGAGCACAATATGCACCAAAGTGTGTTATTTGGACCAAGTTATTTCTGTCAGAGGAGCTACCTGGGTGATATGCTAACTGTCGCAGTGGATCGGCTGCCTCACTGTTGGTGGAAAGAAAGGAAGAATGTCGGGAAAAAGTGACAATCCTACTATTTTTCGCATTCAAAATCGCTATTAGATATCGTTTACTAGTCGACCCGATAGTATAATTAGGCCAATCGTTAGTCCAAACCTGAGTTTTACTCCCGCGTAAGGGGTTACGCGGTAGGAGGTAAACCCAGGTTACGCGGGAGTAAACCTGGGCCTAGCTTCCGCGTTGCTTGTGTGCCTCTTTCCATGTTCACATGAATGCAGTAACAGTCTACTGCCTGTGGTTCACTCAGCACCCTTGGCGATGAGACAGCCTCAAAGACCATGAATAAAGTAGATGAGTCGACGTCTATTGAAAGGAACATCTTCAGTAAATAGTGTTCCAAGAAATCAAGGTACTGAGCGGCGCGAAACTTCAATCATAGGTGGGATCCGGTATATGATCGATGGCAATGCCCCATCAAATATACCGGTGGGTAGACGTGAAATATCGACAATGGGTAGATGATTATCCGTCGCACAGCTATAGTTGGCGTAACTATAGTTCAGGATTACATTCCACTGAAACTAAACCTCATCTGCGAAGAGGAAATATTCGAAAAGGTGAATTTCTAGTTATTTTGGTTAACATCAGTTTTATAAACGCTAAAAGTGCATGGGAACCAAGTGCAGAGCAAAGCCAACATATGCACGCATTGGAAGTAGAATTAGTGAAGGCGCTCCAGGCGCCAAATGTGGACGCAAAAGGATTTTAGGCACGGACTTTGGTTACAATACGTTTCGGACTTAAGGTAAGCACATTCTTCCACAATTGTTCATTCAGCACGTGCTCATGATCCATTCCCCAAAACCCGTTGTAACACATGCTTCTGTAACCGCTAGAACACAGGTATGCTGCTCTCAAGCAGCATGCAGTTGCACTTCTTTCTGGAATTGTACCTTAGTCTTCATTCCTCACCCATCATTTCCGAAGCTCTCATACAGCGTGTTCTTTCCAGCATATTTTAGATATCGCTTCCTTTATATTTTAAATTTGCAGATGTAGCCTTTCCTGGCCTGTTCGTGGAAACTAACGCAGGCATCAGTACTACTCATGCTTTTAGTATAAGATACAGCAAATAATTTGAAGACGGAGAAGAAATAAAAGGAAAATATCGACAAATGCGTGAAATAGGTGCAAAATTTTCTAGCGGAAATTTTTTTGTTTTAGAACCACAAGCCAACTTAGCTGAAACTTGGTGGACGTTTAGGTCTAGTTTGAAGTTCTAAATTCGATAAAAATGAAAGCTCTAAAAAAATTAAGCAGGGAGGATTCTAATACCTTCACTCTCTTCAGGTTCTGCAATGCATTCTAAGATGATATTTGTTTTGTCTCCTTAAGCAATAGTAATTCATGGTTTGCATACGTAGATGGAACGTAATATCTTCATAGAACACTGCTCCGGAACTGCATTCCAACGACCCTGTTACATTGGCTCTATTTATATGTAGAGCGCAGATTCGTATTCATATATTACACAGCCTGTATTTCTGGAAATTTTTAGAGATTGCAGGAGACTAATGCTGTATTCTGATACAGTTTTAGTCATCCTGCCTAATGCTGATATCAGTTTAATGCTATCATTGCTAAATACTAAGTATACTCTTTTGCAACGAGTCTAAAATGAAGTGAATTTCAGCGAAAGCATACGATTGGAGGAAAGTTTCTTAAAGTGTTCTTTTGTGTAAACAATTTGTCGAAAACCGTTCCATGGTTTAGAGAGGTAGGAATGAAAATATCTAATACCTTTACCATATTTATCTCCTAAAATGGTGGTCTTAATTTAATTGCATCCCACTGAGAATAGAAATCCGAAGTTTGTGTATGTAGATAGATTCTAATCCTTCCATTGGTAATCTTTGAGGTGGAATAAAAATGTATGTTATTTCCATTGCTCCTAAATAACGGTGATTCGTATTCCTCTGTTAAAGTACAGGAATACATACGTCGTAAGTTAAAGAGACGGAAGGATTCTATGAATTAAAATGCAGAGTTAGTAACACGTTATAATGTGATTTTAAGTATAATACCGCAGATCTAGATTTTGAAATATTGCAACAGATCTTCGCGGATGCATGTGATCTGCGAAAATTTTATCATTAAAAGCTTTCCTGTCCTAAAACCACAAGGTCGAACCGTAACTCCATTCTATACAGGAACAGAAGAAATTCAGTGACATCAGCCAAGAGTACTTTGCAGTCAACATACTATTTTTGTTTTGACTCTAACTGTGCAGCGGAAATATTATGTATATTGAGGTAGATGCTATTCAATGTCCTACTCTTACGGAACATCCCTAATGCAATAGACTACGTAGTGCTCCCATTGAGACTTGAGACGTGATGATATTGGATCTAAATGCCTCAACACTTTATTTCACTCAGCTTCTTAAGTGTGTTATTTATGAGTTTATTAATTGTATTTGTTGTCTTTCACAGACAGCAGAGACGGAAATTTATTGCATTTGTTTGATCAATTATGGCAAAGCATACAAGGGTGATCTGCTTATATGCAGAAATGCTTTTTTATTGCTAGATTCTGAAATAATGCAGAAATGTTGGAAATTGACAGGTCTTGGAGAATGCATGCAATTTACGAAAATGTTTTCTGTTCCAGAGCCGCTGTCAGTTAGATGAAAATTGATGGGATGGGATGAGATTTTCCCAGAACATTTCTAGCTCCCACTTTCACATTAAAAAGATTTGGAGTAAATATTTTCGAGTGTATAAGTTTCTGTAGAGTTTTAGAGTAATCTGTTCCAAAACCCTTGTCTTGAACAAATCATGACCAATATATGCGCTGACTTCAGGGAAAGGACATACAAATATACCTACATTTAAAAAAAATGTCAGATAATCTCCAGCATTAACGTTTATGTACGTGTCACACTGAAATGAACATTGTGGCATATTTACCCCTTAATCATTATGTCTCGAGAGAACATGGTCAGCACATGCTTAAGGTTTAGGTTAAAGAAATGATTAAAAATGAGAATACCCATACACTTTAGCAATTCAGCTTCTACAGATTCTCTAATGAGAAAGTTACGTTCAGCTCGAAACTAATTAAATGTTGTATAAATTTCTTCCTCCTCTTAAGAATCTAAAATGAATTACCTCTTAGAATCTGAAAATGAGAAGTGCATGCGTACACATAAAATTAATGATTTACTCTAATATATGCAAGTTTTGCAACAGGTATGCACACATATTCTAAGTATATGAAGGGAGAATTGTTCATATATGTATACTGCAGTACATACCCAAGTATGAGTACCACATATGAGTAAGCAAAAATGAAAAACATTACAAAACAATTTGAATGAAAGGCAGTATAAGAAATGTAATTTTTATTCCTTATGTTTGAAAACAATATGCCAAATTCTATTCAAGTTCATGAAAGAAATTTTCACTCATAAATATTGTTGGAAAATAGAAGTATAAATTGTACTTATATATTTATTAATTATTTGGAGCCAAACTGCAAATTTATACAGTTAAAAAGTAATAAATATGCCACTTACGATGAAAGTCTGGCGTAACAAATTAAACAGAAGCAATATCTTTCAAATATATAAGCAGAACACATAAAGTTGCCATTTATATCCAGTTAATGCATACAATCTAAATACTAGGGGATGGGACTGAAAAGATCAGCAGATATTAAAAAAAGAAACAAACATATCCTGGGCAAAGAAAGAATAATATTTTTGTAAAATGGCCGATATAAAGCATGCAAATTAGTTTTAATTTGAATTGAATCCAGCTGATAAACTGAAATATTTATTAACAGTAATAAGTGCAGTATGTAATAAAATGATTGAATAACACATAATGTAGTAATTTTTTTGTATAATAACTGCATTTTTTAAAAATTTAACAGCTTTGCAAAAAATTAATAAAAGTAAATGAAAGTCATGACATGTACAACTATTAGAATATTTTATGTTCGTGCTGAAGCATGAAGTAAAAATCATGGCGATTTTTAAATATTCAAATTCATATCGCAATTTGTTTTATTACTGTGCCTGTATATGTATGAGTTGACAAAAATTGCATAAGCCTTGTGTTATGTTTCAGAAAGGTAAAACAATGCATACAAAAGGGAATGTAGAATGTAAGGAAGATACACATTAAAAAGATACACATTCCTCTGTTTTTTAAACAAAGACTGTATTTGACAATAACAAATTTCAGATGACAAGACATATAGACAATGGCTTACAAGTCTGCAATAATTTTCTTGCTTTCATTTCAGTAAAATTATTTTCCCAGCAATGCTATTGCATTACAAAAATATGATATAATTAAGAGAATGGATAATTTACAGAGGAAAGAAAGTGAAAACAAAGCATGATCAAACACACCAAAATTAAGATGCAAACTAAATATTTATCTGTGAAAATAATTATAAAAAAGACACATATAAAACTTTTTTTTCTAAACAATAATACATAAAAAACTCTAACACTATGTACTTATGAATCTATCACCAAATAATGTTGTCCACAACTCACAAAGAAAGACATCACTGGAATCACTGTATTTATATCACATGAAATTTTTTTGCTACTTTATGTGAACATTTCATATTAACAATATCACAAATTAGTTTGAGTTCCAAAATAGATGCTGTATAGAAACTGTACAAGTTGTTATTAAGTCGAAATTCATGTCCTTATTTTCCAACTATATACAATCAACTTGTGAATACAGAAAGAATGCAATCTTTAAATAATATTTTAGTTACATTAAATTTAGTATTGAGAGGAAACAATACGAAAGGAATAAGCATCTTTGATCCTTCATTTGATAGCAAATTATCATCACAGAAACAAGAACATAGTAAATACAGTACTTTTTAATGTTTTCAGCTAACAGCTATACAAATAACAAAATAGCAACTAGACGACCACTAATGTTCATTTACTTTAATACTTATCAAATGTCAGTGCAAGTACATAAGTTTTAGCTTTACATTTAAAAGAAATATGATGGGAAAATAAACGTATGATTTGCATAACTAAAATTTGATAGAGAACATAACACTATTGAAAAATTTCTTTAGAGGTCATTTTTCCTTCAACTGATAATAATTTAAGAATTTAAATAAACAAAAATATAGAAAGAATTTGAAAATACAAAATTAGTATTAAATTAACAAAGAACTGCTTATAAGAAGTCTTCCTTTGAAGATTAAAGAGCAAAAGCTTACAACTGATGTGCATATAGGATTTTCAGAAATAAATTTATTAAATGATAAGCAAAACTTAGGAATCTTATCTTTTTCTGTTTTATGACAGCTTTTTACAATATTTATAAGGATAATTTTGATTGTTATGGAATTCCGTTTCTAATTATTATAACTATGTGAATTAAAAGGCAATTTACGCTGCCAATAAAGAATAACATTCTTGCACAAATATTAATATTTGAATCAAATTTTGTATTACACACTGGTTGAAAATGCAGGTGTTGAAATTTGAGGTATTTGCATATATATATATAAAATTGTTTCAAAAGTAAAAAAATAAAGGGTAAGTGACCATACTGAAAAAGCCTATATCAATAAAATATTACCACACTTTCAAACAATACGTATTTTGTCATCATTTTTTAATTAGACAGATTAAATAACATTGAAATTTCTTCCTTGCAAAATGATTTGATAGTTTAAGAATAATGTATTAAGCTTCATATTTGGAAGAAACCAAACAAGGTAGGACCAATAATGTAACAAATCATAAACTTAAATGAAACAGGAAATGTGCTTTCAAGCAGTCAACTCAGCAACCTTTTCAAAATTACAGCTTTCCATAATCTACAGCCTTAAATGCATAGTATATTTTACATTTGTTAAGGCAAATAATGCATACTTTAAAATTCTTTAGAAATAGTTTTTCTTAAATGCTAAATAATTTTGTTTTTAACTGTCCCTGTTTCTGTGATAAGTAACAATATTTGCTCAAAATCGTGTCCTTTTAAAAAACTTAAGGGTACAGAGACAGGGGAAAAAAGGCCTGATAATTAATAATGTAATATATGAAACAACAGTAAATTTACAGTTTTGTACACTATATTCAAATACTCTTCTTAAGCTAAATGTATAACTTCTGCTAAGATAAATGCAAATAATAATCTTTTTATTTTTTTCTTTATTATTCAAAAATACTCTTTATACACAGAAACAGACAAGACCATAGCCAGGATATTTTTATTCTTTGGCAAGGCCAAAACTTTAAACTTTCAAAAATCAAACATGGTTTCAATTTATTTGTGCCATATTTAATGTAACTTATTAAAAATGATTCTAACTGTTTGAAACTGAGACAATCTTATCAAACATATGTGTGCAGTAAAACAATTTGATCTTCATCAAGACTATCAACTACCCTTAAGTACTTAAAGGACTGCTTTCTGAACTTACATATTTTCCAAAGGCAGTTAAAATATTACTAGTATATAAATTAGAAAACATTACTGCACCTACAATATTTTCATATTATGACAATAAAATTTCTATTTTTATGTCAATGTATTTTTTCTGTAACAGAGAAAGCTATATGTTTCTGCTGTAGACCTCTTTGCTAAAATATTACATGAAGAATTCTGTATTTTCTTTGTTATGGCACACTTAAAAGTGTTATGCGAGTTTTTAACTGGGGGAAATCATTAGCTGCTTATTTAAAGAGGAAAATAAAAGTAGTTTGACTGTTTCAAACTTTCAAAAAGTACTCCTCAGCAATTTTAACAAAAATTTTTATTGTTAAAATAAAACAAATTTAAAATTTGAACACATTATTCAATCTTATTTTAATACATTTAAAAAAAAACAGACGCAGCTATTACTTAATTTATCCAGTAGCAAATGAAATTATTTTACATAATTCATATGAATGATGTACTTATATCAAATCAAAAGGAAGCTGAATTTTTTTAAATTGTAGCGAAATATGAAAATGAAGATTTACAAACAAAATTTGACAAGAAAACACATTAAACTTAAAAAAAAATTTTTTGAAACGTATTCGATGCTTTAACGCAATTTTATTAAATATTTTACTGAACAAAAAGTAAGTGACTAAGATTTTGCAAATCTTGGTCACATATTTGTCAGATATTTCTGCTATTGACACTATAAAAAATTGCTTCACTGTGACTACTATGTACTAAACTACACATACTTGATTAATAATCTTTGGGTGGGGAGAGTAGTGTCTTTGGGAAAATAAAATGTTTTAATTAAATATACACAATATGTAACTAATGTACTTATTCATGTATTTTTAACTAATTTTTAAAGGTACTACATATAAATTATTAAAAAATTATACAAAAATTATACATTAAAAAATTGCTTCTCTGGGTAGTATGTAAGAAAAATTAAAAATAAAATTACAAGATGCACAATGGCTGTTATGCATCATTAATTAATATTCATAATTAAATGTGTCCTATAAAAGGTAAAATACATGTATTTTACATAGAATTAAGTAGCAATAACATAATAATTATAAATGTTTGACTAGTAAATAATGCTACTCAATGCAATTTCTACTTCAAACAAAGAAATATCAAACAATTTAACTCAAACTGAGTATTTAAAATATAATGATTTACTTAAACAAATAAAATTTCTTTTAGTACACTGCCATCAGAATTATGCTATAAAATCAAGTAAAAAATGACAATTTGATATTAAATCTGTATTAATTAGCTGATGTGAATAAAGTTGGAAACAGTCAGTGAAAGCACCACACAACAGCCCAGGAAAGATTTCTTGAGACAATTTTAGATAAAGGCATAAAATAAAATTTCACTGACTGAGAAATTAAGTTCTAATATTAATATTGATGAGATGACCAACTATATTTTTATGCTACATTCTTTTAATGCAAGGATGACCTGGGTTGGCAAAAAATGGAGGTCAAGGACCCTTTTTGTTTATATATTGAACACAAATTTTTTGGAGCTCTTAACTTTTACTTTTTATACTGGCCGCCATGCAGTCACACCTGCAGCAGTCCATCACAGCTAATGGATAACGAAAAAAATCACAGACTTTTTCATATCTTTGTTGTAACTTCACAACATAGACTGATGGGCAGGGAATATACCAATAAAAGTGGTTTTACCACTATTGCCTGTACATAACTTACATATTGCACATCAGCAGTTACTGCTAACTGTATTCATCACACATCGGTCATATGTTCCACATTTAACCTATAATTTTTACATTTTCCTTCTTTTAAAATTTTTATTTTTTTGCTGAAGTACATTCAGTTGTCATATATATAATACAGGGGTGGAAAGTATGATGCTAATGCTTAGCTCTCTGAAAAACACAGTAACCTCAGTTCTGTGCCTTAAATGAAAATGGCAGGTGCAATGATAATACAGAAAATATCACATACTTCAGCTTATTCTAACAAAAATATCATTCAATCCATTTTCAAACTATTAGGTGATGGTGGCTCCTGTTTTATTCCTTTTTGAGAGAAGGCAAGAAGGGCTTTGAGGCTGCTTTCTGATTCATTGCTTACAACATCATCCTGCATTTCCACAATAGAATGATTACCATCAGTACTATTTCCAGAAACATTGTTCCTGTCAGATACTTGATTTGATCTCAGGTTTAAGATCATTCCATTGTGACATAAAGAATTCTCATTGTCTGAAGGCACACCGACTGATGTCGGACTGTGTCCATTTTGAATGGGTGTCACCGGGGTAGTTGCACTTCGTACATTACTTATATTTATATCAGTATAATGTTTAGGTGTAGTTGAGCCAGCTGTAGTTAATATATAGTCTCTTTCTAATCTTGGTGGACGGCCCCTAGGTCTGCTTTCTGGCTTTGGTACAGACATATGGTTTATATCTGTCTCATCTTTAATTTGATTTGCTAATTCTTTCACAACCCTAAGACCTTCATCCATTAGAGTTTCTTGAACAAGCTGCTTAGTAATATGAGAGTTTGCCTTTTTACCCTGTGCACTTTTTAAACCTCCATAACCATCATTTGTTTGAACAGACATATTAGAGTCATGTGAAGGAGATTCATTTGCATCGTGACCAATACTTGCAGATGATTCATAACTATATACAGAAAACTGTGAATCTATAAAAAAGAAATTTGTAATTAAAATACAATATAGAAATTGTAACAAAAAGATGCAAAACTTTATATGACTTAACACAGTATTGTATAACCTAACACATACTCTTAATACCAAAGGCAAACATCTTATTTAATATCAAGAATAGTTATTAAATATTATCAAAAATTTCTCTTTGTCAATGTAAGTATATGCACACTAATGTATATACTGTAATTTTAATGTAACTTTCAGAAAGAAAAACTATCCAGCATTTGAGCCTTAGAAGTGCAATAAATATTGAACATAACACTGCTCACAAAATTAAAACAATATACAATAAAAAATATGAACAGGAAATATCTCATGATTTTTTTCATTAGTCAGCTTTCACATTACTGCACTGAACACATAAAGGAAATGATTAAATGTGCAATAAAATTTAAGCAACTGATTTTTTTATTAAATTTGAGTATTATATATAATAATTAATGGCAAATTAATATAACTATATTCATAATTGTATTTGACGAATGTGATGTTGTTCAGCATGCAATGAGTGATGCACAGAGTTAAATTAGAATTTCTAGATGTTTAAAATTCTGAAACTAAATAACTGCATTAAGAAAGCATAATAAATTTGAATTCAGGTCTTACATTTGAAAGTCTGGACTTAACTTTCATTATACTGTTGTTAAAAATTTCTATAAAATGAATAAAATATGCTTGAAATTGAAACGTTTTAAATAAGAGCAAAAGTGAGATGCCCTTTTTAGAAAATGATTATATCAAAGAAATAAATATAGTTTTAACTAAATTGATGCAAGTTCTCTATATTTTTAAATATTAACTTCAAAAGCATGATATACCATTCTTTATATAACAGCAATATCTTCTTTAAAATTTCACTTTTTAAAGCAGAACACATGAAATTATCACGTTGTGTTCATTTCCACAAAATTATTAATTTACTAATTTTGATATACTTAATATTGGTTTATTTCAATTATAATAATTCTAGACATGTAATTCCAGAAAATTAAAGAAGTTGGGTTTAGTCATTTAGAAGATATTTACTCATAAATATGCATATAATATTGCACAAAAAGCATTGATAAAATGTAGCTCTGCATCTTAAATATTTATCTGACAGATTCCCGATTCCGATAACATTAATTTTAAGTGAGTCTAGGAAGTTCATTCTGAGATAAGTGAGTCTAGGAAGTTCATTCTGAGATAAGTGAGTCAAAGTAATTCTAGCTCCAGCTGACAAGGCAGATGGGTTATTTGTGAAAGCTCCTATTTTTATTTATTTTTAAACAAGGTTATTTCATTTTTAATTTCATTCATTTTAACCCCGTGTGCCTTTTCAACACTTCAAAAAGTGAATCAAATAACTGCTAAAAAATTACATAAAATTCAACATTCTGTATTATTTGTAAATAATAAATGACAGTAAGTTGCAATATTTAAACTGATTGCATTTAAAGCAAATTATGCAATGCAAAGAAAAGTCAAATTTAATTTTATTCCAGTACATACATGCATTACAGAAATAATAATAATAAAAAGCATATCTTTTAAAAGGATTGACTATTAAAAGAAATCTCAGACAAAAAAAGGTTTGATTGCAAAATATAATGAATTTCGTATGTATACAAACACTACCAAAAAAAGGTTGAAAAATCTCCATTTTCTGTTTAATTTTTATATTAAGAAGGATTTGTTTTCCTGAACAGGAGAATATGTTTAAGTTTCAAAGCAATCTGAAAATTCATATGGTTAGAAATATTCATTTAGAAGTACAATCATGTTAAACGATGACAAGAATTCTTCAGAAAAATTACAGCATTTCTTTTCTTATCATGAGCTAACGGATTTAAAAAAATTCACAGGTATTCACGCATAAAATTTCAATATGAAACATACACATATTATTACTTTTAAAAACATTACCTGTGTCATCTGTATCAACTTTATCATTTTCAGAACAAGATGATCGCAATCCGTATCTGTACTCGGAGAAGTACCTGAGGAAGAATAAAAGAATAAATTAAAGACAATAATGAATGTTAAGAAGGTATGATGAAATTAATACTACTAAGAAAAAATTAGTTTTAGCAATGGCAAAACTTGGCAAATATTACACATTTTCATACATTTTTTTTTTAATTTATAAATTCTTATTTCCTACCTAATGGAAATTGAAAAAAAAAAAAAAAAAAAAAAAAAAAAAAAAAAAAGCAATAAATGCAGTTTCGAAATTATACAGTATATTTGAATTATATAGTACATTTGAAATTATACAGTATTATAGTGTCATACAAAAAGATCGCTAAATTCAAGAATATATGGTCATTTCACTTAATCAATACAGTGCACTATGTTAACCGAGAACAGTTTTCGTGGCGAATATAACCGACGCTTGCGGCCACTCTTGCTGACGTAAAGTTAACATAAGTGTCGAATATCACCTTTGCAAAATGTTATTTCATACTTTCTGAGCTTCCAGTCTTAATTCAAATACAACCCTTGCAAAAGAATATGAGAGGAAAACGTCTCTTCCAATCGAATCGCACGTCAGTTTTAGTTTTCATCGCAGACTTGGTAACCAGGTAGGTCAAGATGATTTCCCAAATGAGCTTTTTCCAAATTGTTGATGTCCACTCTCAGTTGCGAAAACTGAGCCGAAAAGGAAAATAGTGGAGTTTTAGCCGAAAATTTCCCCCCCCCCCCTTAAAGAGCTCAAGCAGCCCCTCTTAAGAAATCCTAATGCTCGATTTTTATTAGTTTAGTTAAACATTTGGCGGTAACTTGCTATATTTGGCGTATTAATGAAATGCACTTTTTTCTTTGATGAAAAAAATCGAACAACGGTGAAATACAATTCATATGAATTTGATGATGTTTAAAATAAAAGACACGAGTAGTTTTGCTATACACTTTCATGCACGAAATTACCCAACAATTGCAAAATAAAATCGCATGGATTTGAGATTGACTAACAATATACTGTAATTTAAACTTAAATTGAAAACAAAAATCTTTCACACAGATTCACTTAAAACTGAGATACAACAATATCTTACACAGCCTGGCTAACCGGCTCCGTCATTATCCCACACTCTTTGAAATCGGACTAACTGAAAAACTAAATGCATACAAAAATGTTAATAAGTCTCCTCCCCCCAAAAAAAAATATTCTTTCTTCCAGTTTTTCAACAAATAAAACGCAATTTATAAATTCTAATGTCTTTACTATGAACAATTTTTAAATATGCATATTTATCGCAATTCACATTAAAAAAAAATTCAATATCGATGTCTGCAGATGTTTCCTTGGCCTGCAGTCATTTCTATGTAGCAACGAATATAATTTATCATTAAATAATTGCATATTGCCGCAACTAGATAAATTTTAAAAGCAAAATAAAAGTTCGTAATTAAAAATGGAACATTCCAAATAAACTGACAAGGATTCATAGTTTTGTCATTAGTGCTGCTGTTTATAAACAAAAATAAATTATTCTTATTGCTGTTATTCTGTATTGAGAGAACTACATTTCTACGCTGCACAAGTTTTAAACTTTTCTACTCTGCACTGAAAATATTTTATTCGGTTAGAAAATATTTTTTATGGTTTTTATCTGTTTATAACTGCATAATTGACAATTGATTTTAAAAAGAGTAAACAGAATTCAAAAACTGATTTTATAATAATAAAAATAGATTTTAACTCAAGGTAAGAATTTTGTTGGGTTCTGAAAATTAGAACAGCAAAATGTTTTTCTACTCTCAGTCCATACACAATTCTAGAGACAGAATAAAAAAAAGGGGACATGGCCAGCGTAAGGTGAAGAGAAATTTAAAATTATTTACTGAAAATATGTTTAAAATGCTATCAGCTTAGCACGGGTTTGCATAAAAATCTATCGTTTAATTTTTCACATGGAACACAAGGTGACCAAAATACATAGGGTTAGGAACACCTAACTCTATATCATTTGATTAATTCATAACTTATGAGAATCTAAATGAAGGATGCCTTAGTGGGAGATCTTTCAAGGGAAACTGGCTTCTATTGATATTACACATGCAGAAAATTCCTATGCAACCAGCTAATTCGAGAGTTTCGCATTTTCTGAAATGATCAAAATTTTAATAAGCTGAAATGCAATTTTGGAAACATTGGTGCTCCAAAATGTGCAAGAACCTAAGTCGATCCTTAGAAACATATTTCGATTAACTTTACTACTCAGTCTTTTGAGTGGCTTTCTCATTTTATTGGAATAGTTTGCATAATTAATTAAAAGATTTTTTTTTTGTGTGTATATATATTTCATACACAATTTCCTTTTCCGGAATACATTAGTTCGAATCAATCTTCTAAAGTTAAGTTTTAGAAATTTGTTTTTCAAACTATTTTCAGTATCTTTAAAGCTTTAAGTATTCATAAATCCTGATTGCAATTTCTGTGCCTAACGCTGAAATATCAAATATGAGATTGAACTAAAAGGTCAGAATGCAGCCATTTGCCATACATGTTAAACTTGTTGATTCATTGCCTTTTAAAATAACAATTAGAAATCATAACACATATCAGTGAAACAATTTTCATATTTTCTACTATGAAATTTAATTTAATTAAATAACCGTAAATTAAAATGGATGTACGGTCTTCCAAGGATAAAATTTGAAAGCTTTACCGATTTTTTTAAAACAGTGTGTCGAAGACAGAAATATCAATCTAACTGAATAAACTAATTGTTTTTAACACTTATTAAGGGAGGGACTTATTTATTAATCCCCGCATTTAAGTTTTCCTTAACTTAATTTGTCTGGATATTTTAAAAATCGGAATTAGAAAGAACAACATTTTTAGTCCTTCCAATTCAAGTTTATTTCAATACTTAGTTCTTAAACACAATCAAATCAAAATAAATTGTATTGTATGCTGAGTAATTTCGAATTTCGTTTAAAATATGATCGAATGAAAAGGAAAAAAAAAAGTTAAGTAGTCTGCTTTGTGGAAGTTAGTGCTATTAATTAGCATGTTAATTTGGCAAACGGTCGCCAAATTTCAGCCAGTTAATGACATCGGACTTAAGAAAAAGTTAACGCCGGAATAAGGGGGGGGCAAATTTGCGAGGTCTTGGCTAAGTAGGGAGTATTTATTTACTTGCAATCTACTTCATTTTCCTCTTCTGTGTGGGGTAATTAAATTTTGGCTTAAAGTCCCCTATTTTCTCTTGCGGCTAAACTACAACCGGGTAAAAGGACACCAAACCTCCAAAATAGCCTTGATGATTTTATCTCGATTCAGTCCGAATCGGAAACATCCTCCGATCATTCGCCCCATCTCAACGTTAGTTCTCAACTCCTTTATACAAGGACGTAACAACAAGCACTAACAACTTTTACGTTTAATACACTTTTACGTGTATAAACGTAAAAGGAGTGCGAGTTTGACTCGTTCTCTTTTGTACGTTATGCTAAAACAATAACGTGGTTCTTATTAGCCCAGGGGTTCTCAATCACGGGGGAATTTCATAGTTTCAAGGTGAGAATGTTGTCAGCCTTTTACTTAATTGTTTATTTAATAAATGTAAAAAAAAAAAAAAAAAAAAAAAAATATTTTATTCAAATTTTGGAATTTACCAACATATTCTAAGTGCTGTTGTTTAAGTTGTTTAATTTATAAAATGGTTAGAAAATAATCTAAATCTAATATATATATATATATATTATATATGCATTTTTCACGTTTTAGAATGAAGGGGGGAATGATCTTCTAGCAACGGCGAAAGGGGTGCATGAGGCAATAAAGCCGAGATACCTTCTATTTTCACCTTTGAATTTTCTGAAGAACCAATTTACCAATTTGTAGTAGCAGTTTTTCTTTTCCTTTTTTTTTAATACTTATGTCAGCTTTGCAGCACTGTTTTAATTGCTAGTTACAACAGGAGTTCTTTCAAAAAGATCTTAAGAAAATTGGAGTATATTGAAACTCAAAATAGCCAAAAAGCGCTAGTTTATGATAGCAGGCCTTTTCAAACTGAAACATACATATAAAAGTAGGTATAAGCAAATTGTCCGCAGAGTTAACAGTTGCAATGGAAGTATTTTCTAAGTGCAGATCAGAAAATCTTTAACCAGAAAAGTTCACAAGAAACGAAGAAAAAACTGAAATACAGAAACATAAAATGAAGATGTCGGGAAGAATTCACAAGCCATTCCGACAACATAAAAAGAAAAATTTGCACATGCTTTAGATAAGTTTTGGATTTCGCTACTAACGTGCCGAGCTCTGTATAGACAAAATCATCAAAATATAGAAACCACCACAAGGCTGTTGGATTCCATTCATTTCCAGACAGCGCAGAAGGCACCATTATTCCAGATAAATAATCTGAAATTTTTTTGCTTGTTTGGTGACGATTAGAAATAATTCTTGTATTCGGAAACGGCAGTGCTATGAACAGTTTAAAAGAAACTGGAGAGTGCTTTTGTGATGGACCTTTCAAATCACATCAATTGCAGTTTAATCAGCCTTATAGTATCCTTGTAGATGTTGGAACTTCTGTTGATGTAACAATTATAATGCTTCGAGAAGTAAACTTTTAAGTGGGTGTGAGGGAATAATAAAACAATATCTCTTCAAGACAGTTCAGAGTGTCATTTTCAGACTCCTAACATGGTCAACGAGGAAGGAACTGGACAATGTCAACCACAAAAAAGGATTACAACAATAAACGTAGTAATTTTATTAAGAAATAGGTACATTATTTCTTAATCGATTAATATGATAAAAATATATGTTCTACTACGTCTTAAAAAACAAAGTAAATATTATTTTGCACAGAATGGCAAAACATCTCGCAGAGGTGGATAGCCTTTTAAATTAATCCAAATGCTGCTGCACCATCTTTTTAAAATATGCTTTTTCTTTTTTTATTTTTGTTTTAATCTTAAAATGAACATACTTAAAACAACGAAGTAACAGAAAATTCAAAGCTAATGACAGTTAAAT